GATTCCTAGAGGCTTTCCTCTGTATAAGAACTGTGAGTGGCTCGTGTCTAACCGTGCTGTGTTCAAACGAGATCTATCCGAATTTAAGAATAAAAAAGGTAACTAAAAACGAACGAATATGGATATATCATATCTGAGAATTTGATTTGTTATATTAAATATTATTTTTAAAATTAATAGTATTAATAATACATATTCTTTAAAATTAAATTTTTTAGCAAAACGGAACAACAGTATTATATCTTTGCTATAACTTGAACATAACATATCATATTGCTTTGATAACATAGGGATTACTATTGTAAGTACTATTGTAATTAAATCTACTCAATCTATTGTATTTGAATTAATTCGTAGCGTTTTCTAATAGGTGGCGTAGAAACGCCACCTACCCATTAGATGGCATGACTATATTATTCCACGTAAACCTGCTGTTATTGAGCGTCGTTTTAGTATATGTCATTTGGTTGAAGCGTAAATAACAAACTTTTTACTTCATCGAATATGTCTAACTTTGTGCCGGATAAAGTGTTTTTGCGGGGAGTTTTACTTCATTACTTTAACATGAAGAAAAGCGCTGCCGAAAGCCATCGAATTTTAGTGGAAGTTTATGGACAGCATGCTCTAGCTAAGCAAACAGAAGTGGTTTTCTCGGTTTAAAAGTGGTAATTTTAAGCTGGAAAACAAGGAAAGACTTGGGCAGCCGAAAAAATTCGAAGATGAAGAATTGGAGTCATTGCTCGATGAAGATCCATGTCAAACACTTCAAGATTTAGTTGAATCATTGGAAGTTAACTATTCAACAGTCAGCAAACGCCTGAAAATCATGGGAATGATCCAAAAGTAGGGAAATTGGGTCCCGAATTGAAACCAAGAGACGTGGAAAGGCATTTTTTCACCTGCGAACAGCTGCTTGAACGACAGAAAAGGAAGGGATTTTCGAATTGTGACTGGAGAAAAGTGGATCCACTACGACAATCCCAAACGGAGAAAGTCATGGGTTAAGCCCGGCCAACCATCAACATCAACGGCGAAGTCAAATATCCATGGATCCAAGCTTATGCTCTGCATTTGGTGGGATCAGCGTGGTGTGATCTACTATGAACTGCTCAAACCGAATGAAACGATCACGGGAGAGCGTTACCGAACTCAACTGATACGTTTGACCTGCACATTAAAGGAAAAACGGCCGGAATATGGCGATAGACACGACAAAGTGATTTTGCAGCACGACAATGCTCGACCACATGTTGCAAAACCGGTGAAAATTTATTTGGAAACGCTCAAATGGGAAGTCCTACCCCACCCGCCGTATTATCCAGACATTGCTCCTTCCGACTACCACTTGTTCCGATCGATGACACATGGCCTGTCTGAGAAACGCTTCACTTCTTATGAAGATAAAAATGTAAAAAATGGGTCCATTCGTGGGTAGCCTCAAAAGATGAAGGGTTTTTCCGATGCGGTATCCGTATGCTGCCAGAAAGATGGGAAAAAGTAGTGGCTAGCGATGGGCAATACTTTGATACTAATCTATTTGTAACCATTTTTGCATAATAAAGCCTCAATTCTCAAAAAAAAATGCTACAAATTAATTCAAACACCCAATAATAGAAAATGAAAACTCAAAATCTAAATAACTTTTTGAATAAAGGAAGTTCAGTAGATAAACTATACTCAGTTAGATAATGCTAAATAAATGGCATAAAATATTATCTCTGCTTTGGTCTTTTTTAACCAGGGACCTGAACCAAAATTACATTCTAGAATATAATTTCAGATCGGTTGACCCAGCTATCCAACTTATGGTTTTCAAATGTCAGTTCCAATCCTTTTAGTGATAACGGTGACTATTATAATTAGGTAATTACTTGAAACTGGAACCGAAAAGAATTCGAAATTTTTCGATCTGGATCCCTGTTTTTAACTATCAGTAATTAATAGATATTCTTTTACTATAATAATTTAAAATTTGATGAGAATCTTATTAGGTACTAAATTTAGTTTTTACAGTTCTTTTACTTAAAAAAACTCATTTATCTCAATATCAAAAGCAAAAAGTACATCATTCAAAGTATTTGCCGTCGCTAGCTATACGTTTTTCTCATCTTTATGGCAATAAATGGATTCCGTGATGATAGAAAGATTGAAGCAATCCATTCATCGATCCATTTTCGCACATCCTCGTAATTTCTGAAGTGTGTATCCACTAAGCCGTGCTGCATCGATCGGAACAAGTAATAATCTGAAGGACCTAAGTCTGGTGAATAACGCTGAGTGCGGGAGAACTTCTCACTCGAGCTGCATTAGTGTTCCTTGACGGCTTTTGCAATGTGTGGTCGAGCGTTGTCGTGCAAAAGCATAACTTTGCGTCGATTGCTGGCTACTACTAGTCTTTTTTCCAACAATATTTTATTTAAACGGTTCAATTGTAATTGATATCTATCTCCCGTGATACTTTCGTTCGGTTTGTGTAGCTCATAGTAAACGACGCCTTGCATATCCCAATGCAGAGCATTGCTTTGTGGCCATGGATATTTCGCTTTGGTGTAGATGTTGATGGTTGGCCAGGATCCACCCGTGACTTTTTGCATTTGGGATTATTAAAATAGATCCACTTTTCATCGCCAGTCACAATGCGCAACAAAAAACTCTTTTTTTTCTGTCTGACGAGCAAAGAAATAGAAAGCGATTCGCAATGGCATTTTCAATTAATTCGTGCGATTTTGATTCCTTTTGAATCTTTCTCATTGCATATATACGTTTGGAAACAGCCATCGGAGTACCATTTAATGCTGCAGACAATTCTTGGAGCGTTTGAGCTTTGGTCCAATAATGCTTGCAATTCGGTGTCTTCAAACTTTTTTGGTTGACCTAAGCGTTGTTTATTCGCATTATACAAGTAATTACCACTCTTAAATCATTGAAACCATTTTTGGCATGTTCTTTCTGATGGAACACAATTGCCATAAGCTTCGACAAGCAATTTATGAGCTGCAGCTGCAGTTTTTTTTCAAATCAAAGTAATAAAGCAGCATATGTCGAAAAAACAACTTATCATGATCCATGTTTAATAACAAAAAATGGCACTGTTTGCTTAAATGAATCTTTTCGCACTGAATTTAATTGACAAATGTCTAACCTCTAAAATACAGCCAGCTTCAGATGTGAAATTAAATTATACCTACGTAGGCTGCTGGAAAAGTTTCTGCAATCTAGTACTTCCAGTGCCGCCAACGTTCTGCTACTAAATATCATATCCGTAAAATTAGACGTTTTTAACCTACAATTCAATTGACAGTTTGTACCCAAGCCAACTAGTTTTTTGCATAGTATTTTAAAAGAAGTTATTTTGTAAGGAAATGGAAATTTCGCATGAAAATTTTCGGACCATGATTTTTTACAAATGTAATCTAACTCCAAAACAATGCATCAATCGACTTCATTTGACTTTTGGGGATGAAGCACTATCTAATAGGACTGTTTATAATTAGTTTGCCGAATTCCAGCGTGGACGTACCTTTCTTAGTGATGAATTCCGTGAAGGTCGTCCATCCACGTCTGTTGTTGCAACTAATGTTGATGCTGTGCGTGAAATGATTGAGCGAGACCGGCATATAACATACCGCGAGATTCAGGCATCCTTAGGCATTGACATGAAAGCAATACATACGATTTTGCATGATCACTTGAGCGTACGGAAAGTTTTGCAGTCGTTGGATGCCACATAATTTGACCGAAGCTCAAAAACAGGCTCATGTTAAATGGAGCAAAGAAATGCTCAAGAAATTCAACCGAGGTCGGTCAAATTTGGTCTACAACATCGTTACTGGGGACGAAACATGTATCTATTCGTATGAGTCCGAAAGTAAACAACAATCCACTGTTTGGGTATTTCAAAATGAATCGAAATCAACAAAAGTTGTTCGTTCACGCAGTGTTGACAAGCAAATGATTCTTCGGTTATACCGGACAACCGTGGCTTTAGAGGATCGAAGGACTGTAAATACTGATTGGTATACAACAATTTGTTTGCCAGATGTCATAAATGAATTGCGTAGAACAAACCGAAATCATCGCATTATCCTTCATCATGGAGCTGGCGACAACGCCAGCTGTCAAACCGTTTATTTTTTATCCAGTAATAATGTCGAATTGATGACTCATTGTCCGTATTCACCTGATTTATCATCTAATGACTTCTTTTTGTTCCCAAACATTAAAAATAAGATGCATGGTGAGCTATTTGAGTCGCCTGAAGCAGCTGTTGAAACATTTCGTACACTGATTTCTGAGATTACAATCTTAGAGTGGAAAAAATGCTTCGAAAATTGGTTCGAGCGTATGCAAAAATGTATCGATCTTAAAGGCGAATATTTCGAAAAACAATAAAGCCATTTACCGAATTTTAAATGTTTTTTTTTCATATTGTTTGCAGGAACTTTTCCAGCAGCCTACATACAACTAGCGTCATCTAAATATGAGTCGCTGAAACTAAGTATAGTAATAGTTAATTTTCAACTATTCCATCTTCAGAACTGTAGTCAGATTCATTTTCGAAGTCATAATCTTCTTTATCTTCAGCATATTCGGCTTCTAACTCTTCTGCCTGAAGACCAAATTCCTTGTCATTCTATGGAATAATAAACATTCTTTTTTAATATTCTTGAAGCTTTCACGGGTGCTTTTTATAAAAGTTATGCGTTTTGCGAGTTTCCTCTTTATCTCACTTCCTAGTATAAACACTACAATCCTTCACTGGAAAATCCAAATCACACGTAACCAGCTCAACAGACTTCATACAAAAGATTCAAAAAATCCGACTACGTCTCACAGACTTGCTTGTAAGTTTCGACGTAGAATCCCTTTTCACACAAGTTCCAATAAAACACGTTAAACATAATAAAGTCCCCTCCGATCTCATCCCACTAATAGAGCACTGCTTAACAACCACTTACTTCTCCTATAACAATCAACTGTATAAACAAACAGGAGCGGCAATGGGCTCTCCTATTTTTCTTGTAATCGCCAACATCTTCATGGAGCACTTTGAGAAAGAGGCCCTCAGAAAAACACCTAAGAAACCAAAAGTTTGGTTCCGTTATGTAGACGACATTCGTGATATGGAGACAGGGCAGAGCCAAACTCCGTAAATTCCTTATTTTCCTCAACAATCAACATCCAAATATCCACTTCATTATAGATATAGAAGAAAACGGAAAATTCCCCTTCCTAGATGTTCTTGTTTCTAAGATAGCTGACGGTACCTTAGGCCATCAAATGTACAGAAATCCAACACATACACACACACACACACACACTCACTCACACGCACACGCACACGTACACGCACACGCATACGCACACGCACACGCACACACACACACACTTACATGCCGACCATCTGCACCACCATCCATCACAGAAACAGTCTGCAATCAACTTACTTGTACATAGAGCTTTCATCATCTCTGACAAAGAACATCTACAGACAGAACTCAACCACTTAAAACTAGCCTTACAGAAAAACGGACACGACAAAAAAGACATAATTAAAACAATCAATAAACATACAAACAAGATAACGATCTCTGACACACAACCAGACGAAAAGATTCTATCCATTCTCTCATATGTCAAAGGAACAACAGATCGGATTGGCAGAATATTAAACAAACACAATATCCGAACTATCTTTAAACCACCCAAAAAGATAGGACAAATCTTAAGAAATCCTAAAGATCAAAGACCTCCACTCAGCTCCGCAGGAGTATACAAAATACTTTGTTTCTGCGGGCAAGTATACGTTGGAGAAACCGGAAGAATGGTCAACCTACGGATAAAAGAACACCAATGTGATGTCAGGCTAAAACACGTCACGCAGTCAGCATTATCAGAACACAACATCGAAACAGGACATCAAATACTGTTTGATAAAACAACCACAATAGTCAACATTACTTCATACTTTCCAAAAAAGTATAGAGAAACCATAGAGATACAAAAACATTCTAACAATCTAAATAGAGATAATGGCTACAACGTAAATGAAATATGGAAAACCATTCTTCCGGTTATTGAAGACTGACTAATTCCCCCCCTCTCCCCCTTTCTTCCCCCCTCAACCACAATTTTCTTCTTTCCTCCCACCGCTCCAACAAGCGTATACAAAAGGGAACGGCCCGGAGGAACAGCTCAGTATCAGACTGCTCTTCGCCCTGATGAAGTGGACTGCAAGGTTCACGAAATGTTGGCATTTCAAGAATGGATCTGGACACGGAGGAAACCCGCGAAACGCTTAACTTTTATATAATTCCTTTTTGTTTTCCCTTCTTTTTTTAAATGATTCTAATTTCAAATTAAATGAAACGTATGCTAGTTTCCCGGCTCTTTTCGTCAAACAATTTCTTTTATTGGTGTGTACGTTTTCGTATCTACTAAAGTTCCTTTCTGTTGCAGCACTAGTTGTTGGCATGCTGAGAATATTAATTGCAATCAAACATAATTTTGGATCAAAATTGTTGCTTTTTCATTAAGCAATGGCTGGTAACGTTTTTATGGTTTTTATGGTTTTTATAACAAAAGGTTCACCAAAAGATTCTTCTTTCTGTATGTAATACAAGTATGTATATAATAGATCTGTATATAATAAGCTAGGTCAGTCATTACTTGCGTTATACTCTCACTAGCTTCCTCATATAATTAATTTGCTCAATTATCGATCACTTGCATTCCTAAACTCCTTTCTGTTCGAGTTAAGTGTTCACCATTGTATTTTAGATTTAAGTTATTGGCATCAAAGTGAAATGGCTGCATCGACAATTTACTTCTACTTGTTATCTTCATTTTAAGATCTGCACATTCATCAATCGATAATGGGTAGTCATCGAGTAATTTATCATAACAAGTCTGTATTATTCCAAGTTTTTGGAACTAAACTTACTGTATAACAATTAGCTTCTAAAATGGTAATCCATTTAATAATTGGAGTCAGAATTTCATGAAGACTTAGAAGGCCATACCAAAAACTCTCGCCTAAAATATCATTTTTAACTTTGCTTTTCAAAACTGCATATCATCCGAAATAATCAATATTTTTAAAGCTTTTTTGTTGTAAAGCAAACTGAGCAAAAGATTATGGACCCCCATCTGGTTTTTCCAGGTAATTTCAATGATACAACTTTCTGTTTTCTGTATTTCTAGATTTCAGTAAATTTTGCTTTGACAAAATGAGACGAATTTATCTCTTTCACAATTTCATTTACTGAAGACTAAACATCTTTAAATGTCTCAAAATGGATTATATCTTTTGCTAGTAAATTCGAACAATGTGCTTCGTAATTGTATATAAATATGTGGATATTTGAGCTGCACAATTTTTCGAGCTTTGACCATATTTGATGCACTTTCAGTAATAATTATCAGAACTTTTCTATTCAATTTCTTCAATTACTTCTAAAATAATCTCTGCTATATATTTTCCAGTATGATATTTTTCTTTAATATCCATAGTTTTGTATAACAAAATTTCCGGAGTAGTTACAACAAAATTAACAATCGATTTGTTCCTATGAAAAATAATAACATTACTAAAACATACTTGTATTATTCCTTAAATTGTTAATTATTACTTTTTGAGACTAGTTCGTTTTGAATTATGATGGATATTTATACTTCCTATTAATATTATTTAATATATAAAGTTATATTTACTTTATTTCTTAAAATTCTTAATTTTGTTCTTCAAATTTTATGTTTGATTTTATTTTAATAATTATTAAATAATTATCATCTGTTACTCCAACCATCATATTGGACACCAATGACACTTGATTTTACAATAACTTCGTTCATTTCTAATTGAATTCTTGTATGCTCTTTGTTTAAAAGAGGAGTACTAATCTTATAAGTTGATGGGGATTTCTAAGAAAGCCGCAGCTCTTTAAGGAACTCTGTACAATATTGATTGTCAAGTTTTGGAAGCGCACAATCTGATGAATAAATTGCTCTTGATAGTTTTTCATCTAGCTTTTCCTATACCATCAGGGTGCCTTTCCGTAGTCCTAATAAATTGAAAAAATATATCAAAGTACATAAAGATTTGTCCACATACATCGAAGAACAACGTGGTCTACAAGATTTCATGTAAAGATTGTGACGCGTCATACGTGGGACAGATGAGTAGAAAATTAAAGATCAGGATTGCTGAACATCGCAATCACATTAGATACAACACTCCTGCTCGATCTGTCATAACTGAGCATAGGAGACAGCTCGATCATGAATTTAAATGGGATGAAGTCGTAATTTTAGACGAAGAGCTATCGGAGACATTTGGTTTCAGAGATGCTTAATATCAAAAAGCAAAAGAATGGTCTCAATTTACAAACTGATACCGATGGCCTCCACAAGGCTTATATTCCCATCATAAATAAAGTTTGACTTTCCGTTACTAACAGTCTGTCTTCTCTCTCAGTCTTTGTTGATCCGCACTACTAAACGCACATAATAATCGACACGTAATGTCTGTCTTGCACATCTACGTTCCTTCTTACTGTACATATTTTAAATGTTTTTCATTCCTTTTTGGACACGCCAATTTATATTTCTTGCACATGAATTCTGGTGAGTTTTTATTACACAATTTTATTATTATTTTTTATTAGACTTCCGGTATTTTATCTCATTCAGGCGTAGATTTTTTGGTACGTTTTTTGTTTTTTAATTTAATTTATCTTTTTACCAACTAGAACTTTACCAAGATATTTTTTATACATTTGATTGTTCAACCGTACGGAAACTACGTTTAATTCGACATCAAGACTCACCCGACGTGTGATTGTTCCTGATATGCGATCTTTTGCGACAACTGTTTTTTTGTTTTTTGTTCTGCGATTTTTTCGTTATGTTAATGTCTGAAGAGGGCTCAAACCGGTAGCCGAAACTTGTAACTTTTAATCATTTCTTAATTTACATTCTAATTTTTGCGTTATGTAATTTTTACCTCTGTTATTTGTAATATACATTTTTATGAATTTTAAAGAAATGTGTTGACTCTTACTTTGATATTTATTTTTATTTATTTTGTTTAGAAAGAGTCCTTTGTTTTATTATTTAATTTATGCTGTAAAATGCTATAACGTAAAAAATGCTGCCAACGTAAGAAAAATCTGCAGAAGACTTGAACAGCGCAATATTGCAGAATTTACTATAAAGGAGAGAACTGAGCGCAGTACGTAGTAATATTCCTACGAATTTTATCACTATATCAAATACTACCAACCATCAACTTGTCACGTTTGCAACAATTGTTTAACTAACATTTCAAGCGGTTCATTGGGCGTTTCATAAACGTCTTCGACTGAGGGAACGTGCGAACGTTCGTACGATAATTTGCGTGGTTCAGGCGACGCATACTTGGAATTTGACGTAACGATTCTTCTATACGTTGCTTTTTAGACGACGGTGTCATTTGAAACCGTGAATTATCTATGCAGAAGCCATCACCATCATTATCATCTTTATCATTATGAACATCTTCATTATCTTTAGGTTTTCCTTTTTTAATATTTTTATCCTTTACATCACTTCTTTCTTAATTGGTTGAGATTTATCATTAGCGGTGTTCTCGACAATCTATTTTAGAGGTTCGACAATAGGCTTAAAGTGTTTCTCCAATGCTATATCTTCCTCCATTTTGCCAGCTTTTAAAGCACAATACTTTTTACGAATCAAGTCATTCGTTTTCGCAATTTGTTTCGCTATCCTCTCGCGATCCTTGAGCTCTTTGTTATCCATGTTGCACTCGACCCAAGAAAATGTTGTGTAGTTGACGTATTGACAACAACTAATCATGTTATCACATACTCATTAAATCTTTTCCTGTATTATTTATTCGTAAGCGCACTGTCTACCACGATTCCATACTTTTGTTGCTAACAGCAACGACACAGTTCGCAGAAATTCTCGTAAGACATGTCGATGTTTACATGATCATTGTATACTTGTTTCAGATTGGTACCGTCCTGTTTGAACGGGATCAACAGATTTGCATTATCGCGTATAAGATGCTTCGGTATCTTTTCGTACGTCTAATATATATAGAAGTAGTCGACGTCCACGTGTCGACCCATCGCAAAGTACTCTCTGATCGCGTCTTACTTGTCGCATGCCACGTCATCGGAGAAAATGGAATTTGGAAATGCCTTGTTCAGTGGTACTACATCATTATTATTGGAGAATATAAAATAACCAATTTCTTCAATCGGTGTTAATAAATTCTCTAAGTATCGATATTTTGACTGTTGCAACGACTTCGAGTACACGTTCTTAAAACGTATGCTATGTGAACTTTCCAAACTTATCAACACATTTGTTTTGCCGCAGTTCAATAGACCGCAGATGATTCCGCGTATAAGAGTCGGCAGCATATTTCCATACTTGCGTATTTTTTTTTCAGTCTGTACTTTATTATCGACATTAGTCACTTTGATCGTCTGCGATCGTCGCACGAACTTCATATCTTCTCCCTTCATGACACTGATAGTATTGAAAAAACGACATTGAGAGCGGATGTATTTATAGTAACGCGCAAAGCAGAACCATTCAATATTCAAAATGCTTCTTATCGTGTCGGAGAACTGTAATGTACACAGTTTAACCATGAAAGAATATACACTAAAAATTATTTTACTACGAGAATTTAAGAATTATATAGATCAACTGTGGGACAGATTACCCGAGCATATATTATATAAAGGCTGATTCAGAGGTTCAGCAACATCGTCGGTGCTTGAAATATTATAATTTGCCATGCCATCGATCGCTTATTGATGGTCCAGAACTGTTTATAAGAAATTATAGCAAATGTCAGCAACAACAAAAGGCTATGGTTTTTTTAATCACGCGATAAACATATTTCCAATTGAGTTGCATATCCCCGGATATCAATTTTGTGATCCAGATACGCATTTAGAAAAGTGATTGAAGCGATCGAAGCACTGTTTGGGCGGCTATGAAAGCCAAAACGAAAATTGATATGGGCTTGAAAACAAAGAAGAAGAAAAAGCTGACGAAAAAACGAATATT